AATTTATTTTTATTTTTTATGTCGATTTTAAAAAATAAAAAAAGGAAATAGAAAAAAAATTTTCAAATTCTTACTATTTAGAAGAATTTGAAATTCTATAATTTTAAAGATTTTTATAAATACATAAATTTTAAATTCTTTATAAATTTTCTATCTAAACAAAATATTTCACCTCAAAATATTTAAAATTCATAAAAAAAATTAAATTACTATTAAAATTTTTCATCCAAACACATTAAAAAAAAGCATATTTATTCTTTCCTTTTCTTTTCCTTTGCTATTGTTTTCATTTTTCTTCTATATCATATATTGAAAATCACAAATATTAAGATAGTTAACAAAATACTTATAATCAGATAATAATTAATCTATATTATTTTTTTCTATCTGTACAAATATAATGTCTATTGTTATTTTTCTAAAACAAAGTTGAAACTATTAGTAAAAAAATTATTTATGAAAGTCAAACTCAATACTAAGAATTTACTATAAATCATAATTCAATCAACTGGGATAGATAATCTTAATTTTAATAAATTAAAATTTGAAAAGATAATACCTTCAGTTTTTAATATTGGTCAAAATATAAAAAGCATAACAATATTTATAAGTTATTGTTAAAAATGAATTTATTTTGTTCTTAGATTAGTACCGTAGAAATGAGACTTAACAATATTCTCACTCTTTGTGTTGTTTAGTGGTTGTCTTTCTTGTTTGTATTGAACATCATGTAAGAGTTGATTAAACATATGAGGTTGAGCAAGAGGAAGATGAAGCTTGAGACTTTGGTTTTATGTCATGAGTCTTGTTATGATAATGTGACATATGTGACACCCAAATCTAGAAGGCACATGTACACTTTTATTAAAAGCATTAAAATCTTTCATTTAATTAGAACATTCTTCAATTACTTTTGCCTACATACAAATAATTCTCCTTTTTTGTATGCATAAAGCACTCTTACTAATAAATGTATTAATTTTAACTAATTAAACATTGTTATTAATCCATTTATAAGTTGTACATCACATCAATAGAATAAGTATAAAATGGCTCATGCATAAAAAACAATAAATACATTGAAGTAATAAAATATAATATACGATTGAATAAGGACCTCTAAATCTCACCATTATATATATATATATATATATATATATATATATATATAAACCAATGTAAAGAGCATAAGTAATTTATGAAATACACAAATGACTAATAAATATAAAATATTGAGATCTTATAATACTCATCAAATACAAAAAAAAAAAAAAAAAAAAAAAAAAGCCTAAAACTCAAAGTACTCACCTTGTACAACATACCCAATAATTTTATATGACTAACATCTAAGTTGATCCCTTTAAAGGATCTTCTTTAATCTCTTCATCAACAATAGCTCTCCAATTCATATCATCGTCAAAACGTTGAATACCTTAAAATTTAATCCACTACAATTATCACCTTCTAAAAAATAAATTTATGGAGTGAACTTCTTCTATCCTTAACAATATCACGCACAAAATAAATTTGAAAGTTCCGCGACAATCTTATATACCACTAATAGAATGATTTTTTTATGTATATATTTTTCTATACATTGTTTTTGGTTTATTTGACTTTTATTAGTATCATATTATGATATATTAGCCTTGATTTGTTCTAGTGAGTCACTTTAGTCTTAGTTGTAAATTCTAGTTAATTTTCATAATTTTTTTTCCTATTTTGACATTATTTTTTGTGCAAGCCATATCTGGAGCTCCCGACATTGAATTTGGATGTTTTTAGTGTCCTTATAAAGATAAAAGAAAGTTATACAACTTCTTTGTTAGGAGTAAAGGTCAATTCAATGTTAAGTGACCCAAAAATATATTGCAAAGTTGCAACTCTGCATAGTATTTTTTTTTTTTAAATGTAATGTTAGAATTTGTTTAATGAAGTAATTAGTTAATTTAGTGGATTAACCTTTAATTACTCTTATTAGTCCCATTAGTATAGTATATAAATAAGTATAACATATGTACACTTGATATCATATACCTCATTTTTTCAAAAAATTGAGTTGCTTATCTTAGAAGTCTCTCAAAATTCTTTCTTTTTCTCTCTCTCTCTCTCTCTCTCTCTCTCTATCTCTATTTTTCAAGAGTACTAATCCACATCCTAATGTATATAGCAAAAACCTCATTGATTAAACCCACCACACCATTGAAACTTAGTTGTCTTACAGGTTTCTTTATGGATGAGATTGGTGGCACAAATTCTACCCTAGTACTTGGCGTAGTCGCTCTCACCAATCAAGGCTATGCCTCACATTTGTCCGGATTTTTCAAGTCAGCATATAAGAATTATCCATCCACACTAGGTCTCCACAACCTAGTGCCTTACTATCCCCAAGGACTCGAAGACAACAAGCATACCTCAAATACCTTTTGTAGTCATCCATATCCTACTTTCGAGGACATTGTCACACATGATATTCTTTTTAAGACTTATACACTGCACCAAAATTAATTTTTTGTGGCAATTAATTTATTATTTAGCAGCTATATAAATGACCATTATTTTTTTTACCAGCATTTAAATAAAGGCTGGTGTATCCAGTGTCGTTAATACTATTACCGACATTTATATAAAATGTTGGTAAAGATCTACTAAATTGTCAGAAAAGTTTATTTTTTTAGTAGCAATTCTAGTAGCCATTTTAAAAGCTATTAAAAGTTATTTTTTCAATTGTCTCCTTTACTTTAAATAATTTATTCCTATAATTTCTTTTTCTAAATTCATAACTTATATACTTTTTTTATATCTACTCGTTGTAGAATTTATAAGATGAGGGTTGTCTTTTATTTATATATTTTTTAATTTATTTTTTTAATTTTCTTGTCTCTTAAGAAATGTGAGATTTATAAGGTGAAAGTTGCTCTCTAATTATTTTATAACACTATTGAATTTGGTAATAATGGGTGATTTGATACCGATTTAGAATAGTGAATTAGGAGTTAACACTATAAAATGAACCTGTAAGGTGATAGTTATTACTCATTTATATACTATTTAATTATCTTATTTCTAATCGATGTGGGACTTAAGTTTTTTGTAATAAATAATTGTCGCTAATAGAAAACTTTAGTGTAATATAAATACATTTTTAGTTACTATTATATATTAGCCATTAATATTTTTATATATGGCGTCATTAAATAATTGTCGTTAATAACAAATTTTGTTGTAGTGATACCAAGCTATATTTTCCAAAAGTACATGGAAGCAGCTAGAGGTCACGCAAATACAAGTAGAAACCCACAACTTCATCTCCCAAAATCAATAAATCAAAGTACATAACTTCAATCTACGACAATAACATACATACCTCTCAACACCACTTATAATTCTTGTCTCCCTCATTGAGGTCCACAAATAAATATGTTTACGTAGTTACTTTTTTCTTTTCCACAATAGCACCACACGAGTTAAAATATGTAAGCTTGCGACACAAGTTTATATTTAATATATATATATATATATATATATAAAGTTCATATTTA